GAGCCGACTAGAGAGGGTCAACATCCTGTTTGTAGAAAGACAGCAGATGCTCTAAGAATGCACTTGGTCACCTCCTGTGCCTTATTGTTTGTTAATGAAACACTGCGGTGTCTATTTAATAAGTCTTTAACCTTTTTACTTAAGTATAGTGCACCTTATATTTTTACTCAAGTCTATTATATCTACTTTTAAAACTTTTCATAATATAGATAAATTAGATAAAATGATTAAGAACAGATATACATAAAATAACATTAGAACTCAGAAGACTAATACAACTCATATTCTAGCAAATTTAGTTAAGCATTAGGAGGGGGGGAAATGTGGTCAGCTAGGGCCCGGCGGTCGGAAGATATCGGGATGTAACGGAAAGATGGAGTCACCCCCCTCCTCCATAGTTTATGGTAATGACCCCCGTAATTAGCCAATAGCACCTAGCTGTGATGAAAGCAGATGGGAGTGACACTGTGAACCTAGGTTATAAAGTGTCAAATTCTCCAGCAATAAATGCCATTTTTGCCATCCATCACATTGGTGTTGGGTGCAAATGGACCGAGTGACCTGGGATTGGTCACCGTGCCATTCCTGAACCAAAGATAGAGCAATCTCTCTTTCCTGGAAGGTGTTCAGCTTTGAACAAACTAGTTTTGCTGAAGATGAGCCCAGGCAGTGGTGAGTTAGAGCATTTGATCAAACTCCCAGCGTATCCTCACATCTGTTTGGACACAATTTCTCTTTGTTTTTTCATTGTGAATGCTTTCTCCTGCCCCGCTGCCTCCTGCTTGGAGTTGTACGCGCAGCAGAGTGCCAGAGTTTTCTCAGCAGGCCTGTGCAGCGAGTTCTGAGCCAACGTGTGGCTCTGCTGCCAGCCCAAATCTGCGCTTTCCTTGCCCAGCCTGAGTGCAAGTGGGGCATGTGCTGGGCGTGGCTGGTGATTTTCATCACCAAAATCCTCCAGCGTCATGGCATTTCCATCTGCCCATTGCTTTGGAGAGCACAAATCACAAACCACCCATCTCAGCTGATAAATGTCATTGCTTGCAGATTGCTGCAGCCGCACAGCTGAGCTACAAATACACATGAATCCATTTCAGTTGAAAAATGTCATTTATTACAAATTGCTACACCTGCGCTGACAATACACAACTATCAAAATCTCAATTAAGTTTAAAAAAAGTCATTTATTATATTAGCACAACAATGCCATGAAAAAATATACAAATACCAACTTCAGTTGGCAAAACCTTAACTTCTTGCTAACCTCT